CTGCCTTGGAAACCCAAGGAGGGGTCGCTATGAGTCGGGGCCGACTCGACGGCACATAACAACAACAACAACAACAGAGAGAAAGGGAGCTCTGGTGGCATAGTGCCTAAGGCATTTGACTGCTAACCAGAAGGCTGGCGGTTCAAACCCACCAGCCACTTCTCGGAAGGATGGGCAATCTACTTCCATAGTGATACTGCCACAGAAATCCATGGAGGGGTCGCTATGAGTCGCGGCCGACTCCAGGGCAGTGAGTTTGGTTTGGGGGAATCTATCTGCTGACTCTCGGTTAAAAACCTCTGATAAAGAAATATAAAAGAAAGATAGTAAAGTAAAAAGTTAGCTTTAATTCTCAACATTCAATAAGGCAACTTGTAAAAAGCCCTCTCTCCTCCTTCAAAGGGAGTTCTGGTGGCCTAGTGCCTAAAGCATTTGACTGCTAACCAGAAGGTTGGTGATTCAAACTCACCAACCACTTCTCGGGTAATCTACTTCCATAGTGATACCGCCTCGGAAACCCAAGGAAGGGTCCCTATGAGTCGGATCCAACTCCACGGCAATGAGTTTGGTTTGGTTTTTGGTTTAGAGTTTAAGTAGCGAGTTCCTTTGTGAATTTATTGAACGGACCCTATTTTAGAAAAAATGTACACACAAATTTCTGCGTTAAGTTTGGAAGTTTGCGGGCTTCCCCAAAATTCCTTCTAAGGGTCTCAGGATAAGAAGTCCGGAGAATACTTATCTACCTGGTTGTCTTCCATGGATGGATACCTACCTATACAAGATAGGTAACAGCTAAGCAAACAACAGTTAAAGCTATGATTTGAAAGTCACTTTTATGGAATTAAGGCTCTCAAGCCAAAATGTTCACTGGAATTCTCTTTAATACACTGGACTTAAGTGTTATACTTACCTCGAAAGCAGAATAATCTGGGGCTGTCAGGTAGCTCAGATAGTTCTTTGTGGGTCTGTATCGGCGAGTTTCCTCCTCCACCAGCGCCGCAGCCTGAGAACGAAAACGGGCCAAGTAGGGGCGGCAAATTGTCATATGCTTCTTCCAGCATTGTAAGGTCTAGCGAGCGCTGAGTCAGCTAAAGAGCTACCCCCACACTCACCGCTTCCCGCACACCGGGCGCTTCATAACCTTGATCAAAATAGGGCAGCGCATCCACCACAACCTCTCCGGCCACCAAACCAGTCCCCGCCATACCGCGAACCTTTAGGTTGGATTGGATTTCCTGAGTCTGCGCAAACTCTAGTAACATTTAATTACGCCTGCGCCCGACACTGACGTAATCCAGGACGCCTGCGCATTGGCCTTAAGCACTTAATTACCAATTCTGAAGGCGCGCTCCTGGTACCCCTTAGAATTGCCGGGTCATTTTAGTTTGGTTGGACGTGACGTTACTTCCGCTTCCCTGCGTCAGAGCAACACCTGTTTTCTTTCTCCCTCCTCTTTTTTCACAGCCTGCGAATGGGAGCACTTAGGTGAATAGGCTGGGTACTTTTATGTGGGGTGCTGAAATGTAGTATAGGAAGTCTTTAAAATTGTTTGCGGCAAATGGCGGCAGGGTTTCTTACTGCCATCAAGTCAATTCCGACTCATAGTGATCCCCCTTACGTTTCCAAGGCTGTAAATCTTTACCGATGCAGACTGCCTCAGGCGGGTTCAAACCACTGCCCTTCTGGTTAGCGGTCAAATGCCTTGACCACTACGCAACCAGAGCTCCTTGGCTGCAGGGTTTGATGGGGGGAAAAGCTGGTTTATCACACTGGCTTACTCCCTTAACTTTCCTTCTCCTCTTAAACTTCTCTCTGTTATGTACAGCCTTTTCTCCTGTTGCCCTTCCTTGCTGCACTTCCACTGTCTTTCGCTTTAGGCGGCTTGAGAAGCTTTGCATTGGGTGCAATTATTTCACAGGTTCTAGAAATGGATGCGAGTCTCCAGATAAAACTATGAAACTTGGGATCTGTGTAACAAAAGGAGTATGATATACTTCGAGGCCAAGAATGATAACCTCCACCAACCTCAGCTTTTAACAATCCTGTCCTTTTGCTTTTCTGGCGTGTATGAAATCCAGTCATTTTGCCTTTAGGACTTCCAGTAATAGGATAGCACTTCTCATCGCCTCCTGATTGCCCTTGTGCATTACATATAGTGCACTGTCTGGTACATGGCTTTTGAAGAAGCAAACACCATATAAAGTTGTTGGCTATACACCCTGCCCAGTGTACAATGTAGACCCAGACTTTGTCAGCCAAGAGCCTGGAAATGTTGGCCTGAGCTAGTAAGCGTGGTTGGTATAAGATCAATTTGGATTAGCTTTCTGTTGTGTGCTGACAAGTGGATTCCAACTCACAGAGCCACCTTTGGAGAGAACAGAACTGGCCTATAGAATTTCTAGGAGCTCTGGTAGTGTACTATATATGTGCGCTTCATCAAATGGAAGCAAATCTGTAGAAAGAGATAATGGAGAAATTCAGTATCATCCAACAAGGCCAGGGGCCAACTGCAGAACAGGCAATCAATTGCTCCTGTGCCAGTTCCAGTTGAAGCTGAAGAAAATGAAAAGTCCACAAAAGCAGACACTTGACTGCTAACCAGAAGGCTGGCGGTTCAAACCCACCAGCCACTCCTCGGAAGGAAGATGTAGTAATACTGCCTCGGCAACCCAAGGAGGGGTTGCTATGAGTAGGGTCTGACTCGACGGCACATAACAACATAGGATTTCTAAGGTTATAATCTATAGATATACTCAAAGTTGTACTTTGGCTTTTGTGGACTTTTAATTTTCTTCAGCTTCAACTGGAACTGGCACAGGAGCAACTGATGGTCTGTTCTGCAGGTGGCCCCTGGCCTTGTTCTGATGATACTGAATTTCTCCATTATCTCTTTCTACAGATTTGCTTCCATTTGATGAAGTGCACATATATAGTCACCATTTATGTTGTTGGAAAAAGTAGTATTTCCAATGAATATGTCATTGATCTTTCCAACGAGTATTTCTGTCTTGTGATCGCTGGTGTCATTTATATCATCAAGGCCATGTTTCCTAGCTACCAATCTTTTTGTTTCCAACTTTTGCATTCCAGTCACCAGTAATTATCAATGTATCTCGATTGCATGTTTGATCAATTTCAGACTGCAGAAGTTGGTACAAATCTTCAATTTTGTCATCTTTGGCATTAGTGGTTGGTAGAAAATTTAAGTAAGAGTCATATTAACTAGTCTTTCTTGTAGGATATGTATGGATATTATCTTGTCACTGACAGCATTGTACTTCAGGATAGATATTGAAATTTTCTTTTAGATGATGAATGTGTTGCCTTCCTCTTCAATTTGTCATTCCTGACATGTGTTGTTGTTATGTGCCGTTGAGTTGGACCCGACTCATAGTGACCCCTCCTTGGGTTGCCGAGGCAGTATCACTACTGAAGTAGATTGCCCAACCTTCCTTCCGAGGAGTGGCTGGTGGGTTTGAACCACCAGCCTTCTGGTTAGCAGTCGAGTGCCTTAGGCACTATACTACCAGAGCTCCCAAAAGAAACCAGAGCTCCCAAAAGAGATGGCCTGGCTACCTGGCAGGGAGCGGCTGGTGGGTTTGAACCCCCAGCCTTGGGTGTGCAGCTGACTGCCTGAGGTCCTGACGCCATCCCCTAGGGCCATAGTAGAACATACAATCATATCCTAAATAGCCAGTGCCAATCCATTCAGCTCACTAATGCCTAATCTTCATGTGTTCCACTTAATTTTTGATTACTCCCAATTGTCCTAGATTCATACTTCATACATTCCACGTTCTGATAATGAATGAATGTTTGCAGCTGTTTCTTCTAATTTTGAGTCATGCCACATCAGCAAACAAAGGTCCAGAAAGCTGTATTCTGTCCATGTCATTAATGACAATTTTGCTTTGAGGAGGCAGCTCTTCCCCAGTCATACTTAAGTGCCTTCCAACCTGAGGAGTTCATCTTCCAGTACGATATCAGACAATGTTCTGTTGCTATTCGTAAGGTTTTCCCTGGCCACTTTTCTAGAAGTAGATCTCTAGTCCTTTCTAGTCGATCTTAGTCTGGAAGTTCTGCTGAAATCTGTCCACCATGGATGACCCTGCTGGAATTTGAAATGCCAATGGCATAGCTTTCAGCATCACAGAAGCATGCATGCCATCACAGTATGATAAGCTGACAGAAGGGACCATCTTAAGAATAGATCTGATACATTTAACACCAGTGAGCAAAGACCAGACTAGTTGGGAGATGACAGCATACATGAAGACAGCAAAAAGACAGACAGAAAGAAAAGACCAAAATGGATGTCAGAAGAGATCCTGAAACTTGCTCATGAATGTGGAGTAATGAAAGTGAATGGAAGAAATGATGAAGTAAAAGAGCTGAATAAAAGATTCCAAAGGGTGACATGAGAAGACAAAATATGATGATGAAGTATGCAAAGGTCTAGAGTTAAACAACCAAAAATGAAGAACACACTTGGCATTTCTCAAGCTGAAAGAAATGAAGAAAAATTTCAAGTCTCAAGTTGCAATATTGAAGGACATATCAAAAGAAGATGGAAGGAATACACAGTATGATTCTACCAACAAGAATTGATTCACATTCAGCCATTTCAGGAGGTCATGTATTATCAAGCACTGATGGTACTGAAGGAAGAAATCCAAGCTGTACTGAATGCATTGGTGAAAAATAAGTTTCCAGGAATTGATAGAATACCAATTAAGATGTGTCAACAGATAAAATGCTGGAAGTGCTCACTCATCCATGCCAAGATATTTCAAAGACAGTTACCTGGTCAACTGTGGTAGTTAAAGCTATGTGTCAGCTTGGCTGGGCCTGGTTTTGAGTGGCTGGGAAGCTGGATGTAGTGATTCCCCATGATGAGACTGGTGGAATATGCTGTTGAGCAGCTGAGTACCTGCCTTAGGGATGTGGTCTGCTTCCAGTATATAACCAGCAGCTTTAAGAAGGTCTCTGAGCTTTTTGGCACATCTGGATCCTGCAGGTAGCCAAGTCTTCATTCAGCAGCCTACCATGCTGCCTGCCAATCTTGGGATTGATTCTGGACTTGAACTAGTTGCCTGCCATGTTGCTTAATAATCTTGGGACTATGCTATTTTACTTGTTGACCTTGGGTTTCTCAGCCTTAGCAGCCAGCAGCTTCCTGAGTGAAGAGAAGTCTCAAGCTTCAGTGGGCCAGGAGCAAGAGGCAGAGCTGAAGTCCAAGGTCAGGGGGCCTTCACCCAGCCCCTAAAGCTGGCACTTTGAACTTGGACTTCTAGTCTACTGAACTGTAAGAGAATCTCTGTTTGTTAAAACCACCCATTTGTGGTATTTTCTGTTAGAGCAGCTAGAAGACCACTAGAGAACTAAAACACCAACCAACTGAAAGCAATGTGTATTTGTGCCCATTCCAAAGAAAGATGATTCAACAGAATGTGGGAATTATCCTACAATATCATTAATGTCACATGCAAGTAAAATTTTGCTGAAGACGATTTTAAAAATGGTTGCAGCAGTATATCGACAGGAAACTGTCAGAAATTCAAGCTGAACTCTGAAGATGACTTGGAATGAGGGCTATCATTGCTGATGTGAGACAGATATGTCTGAAAGCAGAGAATACTGGAAAGATGATAACCTGCATTTTGTTGACTATGCAAAGGCATTCACCTGTGTGAATCAAAACAAATTATGGTTAATATTGTGAAGAATGGGAATTCCAGAACCAAGGAATCTGTACGTAGGGCAAAAGGCTGTCCTTTAAACAGAACAAAGGGATATTGAGTGGTTTAAAATCAGGAAAGTTGTGCATCAGAGTTATATCCTTTACCATATTTATTCAATCTGTATGCTGAGCAAATAATCTGAGAAACGGTATGAAGAACTTGGCATCAGGATTGGAGGAAGACTTATTAACAACCTGCCATAGGCTGATGACAACCTTGCTTGCTGAAAGTGAAAAGGGCTTGAAGCAATTCCTGATGAAGATTAAAGACTACATACACTCTTCAGTAAGGATTACACCTCAATATAAAGAAAAGAAAAATCCTCACAACTGGACCAATAAGCAACATCATGATAAATGGAGAAAAGATTGAAGTTGTGAATGATTTCATTTTACTTTGATCTACCATCAATGCCCATGGAAGCAGTAATCAAGAAATCAGACTATGTATTGCATTAGGCAATCTGCTGCAGAAGATTTTAAAAAGCAAAGATGAGGACTAAGGTGCACCTAACCCAAGCCATAATATTTTCAATCACTTCATATGCCTGCAAAAACTGGACAGTGAATAAGGAAAACCAAAGAATTGAGGCATTTGAATTATGGTGTTGGCAAAAAATATTGAATGTACCATGGACTGCCAGAAGAATGAGAAAATCTGTCTTAGAAGAAGTATAGCCAGAATGCTCCTCAGAAACGAGGATGACAAGACATCATCTCAAGTACTTTTGGACACTGGAACCAATCCCAGGAGAAGGAGATCATGGTTGGTAAAGTAAAGGTCAGTGAAAGAGAGGAAGACCTTCAATGGGATAGACTGACACAGTGGCTGCAACAATGGGCTCCAATATAGCAACGATTGTGAGGATGGCACAGGACTGGGCAGTGTTTTGTTCTGTTGTGCACAGGGTCACTATGAGTCAGAACTGACTGCATGGCATCTAATAACAGTAATCTGTATGGGTGAAAACTGTCACATCTTTCTCCCATGGAGTGGCTGATGGATTCACATCACCAACCTTTTTGTCAGAGTTCTTAAGCACTGTACCACCAAGGCTCCCTGATTAGCTTTCTAACCAGGGTTTTCAATCGGTTCATTCCAAGTCAATTCCCTGATGATAATTTGCATTTCTACCCCAGATACAGTCAGATCTTTTTAACTAGATCCCCAGGGGATCCTAATGAATGTATAAGGATCCCCTGGGGATCTGTAAAATCACCTAGGGATCTTGTTAAAATGTAGATTCTGTTCAGTGTATCTGGGGTAGAAATGCAAATTCTCAGCAGGGGGTCAAACTGGAATGAACAAGTTCCAAGCCCCATGTCTAACTCAGCATTATTTAGTGGAAGTGTGCTACCTATAGATTTAAGTGAAGCATAAGATCTCTGGATCCCTAAATAGTACAAATGGTTTGTACTCAGCCTAAAGGTTTGCGGATCAAACCTACCCAGAGCACCACAGAACAAAGGCCTGGTATTCTGCTTCTGTTAAGATTACAGCCAAGAAAACCTATGGAGCTGTTCTACTCTGAAACACATGGGGTCACTCTGAGTTGGAATCAACTTGACAGAAATTTTTTTTAAAAAATAAGATCTCTAAATCTTAATTTTATTTTAAATTCTCCAGACTTCTGAGGGATTTTTATGTGTTTATTCTGTAAACAACATTTTATATAAATCTTGAGCAATTCTTTTACAAACATGTCCAGAATTCATAACACTTTACAAAAACAAAAATATAACAGACCTATAGAAGCAGCTTGAAATTACAGGGATAAAGGCCCCCATCCAGAAGCAAAGGTCTCCTCACAGAGGGATGGTGAGAAATGCACCACAGTAATCTCTTTTACCCCCATCTTACAAGCACTCAATTCCCAATTACTAGTAGTTTGTTCCCTCAGGGTTGTAGTGTTAGAAGAGACCAGTGGGGAGATGTCTGGTAGGAGTCCCACTGGGGTAAGCTGCTTAAACATTTTAATAAGACATGGGCTCAATTCAATTCCCTGGACCCACATCTACAGGAATAATATTACACAGCACCGTTCTTTCCATGATGTCTGCTTCAGATTCAAACATGCACATCTGAATGCGTTGTCATGACAACACTGTACAAGTCAACGTATAGTACAATACAACATTCAAGGTTTTGTTAAGTTGGAATAAATATATTTTTATGCCAGTTAAAACCATTAACTTCAACAGGGGTTGAAGAAAACAGACATTTGCTATAACACTTATCAATGAAAATGGCACCATCATTAACTAATTCCCCTTCTAATGACTAATATTAGTTACTAAAGGTCTGGGTGATTAAGTGGTGTGTGCCCAGGAAATGTTTGTAATTCTGAGTCCAATATAATTAGAGCAAAAAGGCCAAAAATTCTAGAGGAAACCAAAAAGAGTATCATCTAAGGAATTATAGTTTGAAGTCCCTCCTCCTCAGAACTGGGAGGTGGCTCTGGTATACTTCAGCTTAATAGGAAACATCTTTAATAGCTAAATACCACAGACCTCAAACTTCTATATGCAAGACTAACCAACTTCCTCAGTATATATAAAATAATAGTCCTGGGCTTTAATACTGGCTTTTTTTTAAAAAAATAATTTTGGACAAGTTATTTAAACTCTTTGAATTTCAGTTTCTTCATTAGTAAAATGAAGATGCAAATATCTATCTCATAAAGTTGATGTAAAGATTGAATAAGATGACATACACACATATGACATAGTGCATTTCACATTGTAGATAATGAAAAAAGATGGTAGTTACATGGCCTTGAAAGGGCATTTTCCTAGCAACTATAATCCCACAAAGCTTAATGTCGACATGTGAGAGATATGCTACCCAAATGCCACATGTTGTGGAGAAGTAACTACAAGGTGTCTACTTTTATAAAGTACTCAATACCAGTTCTATCAAGTAGAGTTTCCACATGAATGGGATTCTCCTAGGTACAACATAAGATAAAAAAACTGGAGCTGTATGAAGAGTATATTACTTAGCCCAGCTCAAAGAGCCTACAGGGTTAAAGCTGCCATGACATTTCAGTGATCAGAATTATATGCATAGGGTGTGTTCTCCACTTCCATCATGCCTCTCTCATACCCTAATCTTAGTATTTTCCTCATCTTTGAGCTGTTTTTTAAATACAACACCAAGTCCTTCCCTTGCAAAAGACAAGTGCCTTCACAGACTAAGCACAAAACACATACAATGAGCCCAAATATCAAATAGAAAAGGCCACTTAAAAAAAAAAAAAAAAGGCTGAGTGAAGAGACCTTGGTTCTAGATTATTCCCAACAGTTCTCCAGTGATTACTACAGCAGCAACAGGAGGATTCTCTGAGTGCCAGACTGCTCTGAAATCTTTTCAACTTTCCAGGAGTTTGTAGAATAGTTCAAGGCATCCTGACTCTTAGAAAAATATTTTCTTTGGCACATTCTGTTCTATTTAAGATGGAGACAGTTATCGAAGATTTTATTTCTTCTGGAGAAATTTCATTTTACTTCCTAAAAGAAGAAAAAAAAAAGAGTAAACTCTTATTCATTTTTATTTATTGTGGATTACTTGAGGAAATGGGTTAACAACTTATTCAGAATAGCCTCAGTAAACTATCAGGCAGTATGTATTTTTAAATTACATATTTAAACATTAGCCAGCAAAAAAACCCCAAATGTCTGATTGTAGAGGGAGAAAAGAACTCAGACACTAGAGCTGAGAACCACTGATCTAATTTAATCACTGTGGTTTAAAGAGGAAATAACAGCCCAGGGCATAATTTGTCCATGGTTTCTCAGCTAGAAAAGGACAAAACTTAATTAGAGACATATTTCAAAGACCAAAATAAATACCAAAGAATGTAAGTTCATTGTTTTGGACTAGCCACACATTGTTTCTACATCACCCTGGGTAATGAAAAGTTAACTATAACTGAAAAATCGTAAACAACTTTGTTTCTTTATGAAAAGTAATACTTGAAGGAAATCCTCTTTTGCCTCTGATTCCATCTAAATCAGGTGTTTTTAAAACGTAGTTGTATTTATATTGTTGTTGAGAATATACACAGCAAAACATACATCAATTCAGTACTTTCTACGTGTACTAATCAGTGACACTGATTCCATGCTTTGAGTTGTGCAACGATTCTCACCCTCCTTTTCTGAATAAACTCACTGCCCCCTGCAAAGGTTCTATTTAATCTTTGCTGTTGTCAGTTTGATCCACTATGGGCAAATCTTAAAAGAGCATAATACTCAAGGCAGTTAAGCTGAACTATTGTTTGGTTTTATGAAGACTGCAGGGGATATTTTTGGTTCAGGGTTTAAAGATTATCTCAGTGCAATAGTTTCAGGGGTTCATCCAACCTCCATGGCTCCAGGAAGTCTGGAGTCCATGAGAATTTGAAATTCTGTTCTGCATTTTGATCAGGAGTCTTCTATGGCATAAATCAGATGCTTTTAATCTGAAGTCCGTGGATGGGCTTCAGGGACTCCGTGAACTCTCTGAAATTAAACACAACATTTGTTTATACACGATAAGTGTATTTTTCTGGGAAGAAGTTCCACAGTTTTTACAAAATTCTCCAAGGGCTTTAACCTAGGAAAGATTAGTTATCTTGATAGGCAAACACTTATGTCATGAGGGGCTTGTTCAGGGAGCTTCATCTGAGGGAAATAGGACCACTCTGATAGAAAATCCCAAGTTCTGTTTCTCCAAAACAATTTGGGAATACAGTCATGGTTTCTAGTCAGCCTACTTGATGTTATCAATATTCAGATATATTGCTGATCTGATTATAAAACCTTTGTAACTAAGGCATGCTTTTCATGTTTTTTAGCCACATTAATCCAACAGAAAAGTACAGCAACTCACCAAGACTCCGCAAAATTCTATTCACCCCACTGGGCTCAGACTCAGGAATTGTTTCCAAATACTGAAGGGCCCGGACCTCAAACAAACCTATGATGAAAACTCATGTTGGTGAATTCGCCTAACACTTAATACTGAAAGTTAATTAAATAAAACTTGTTGTTCATTACCAATGTACTATTTCCATGGGCAAAATAATATTACAAAATAAATAATTCTCATAAAACGACTCACATTTTGAGCCCTTGCAGCTATGACATTATTTTTTTGTTTATTTTCAAAAGTCTCAAATACTTACTAAAGAGACAGGAAGAATTTTCTGATGGATACTGACCTTTCACCCCACTTTTCCGAAGCTCTCGGTCCTGGATGAATCCTGCAAACATCTGAGTCTCCATGAAGAGATCCAGGAAGTGGCGTACGCTTCGGGAAGTATGGGACTTACGGAATGGCTCCCTTTGAAATACACGGTCCCCACGCTCAGTGACAGTCATGCTTAAAGAGTAATGTCCCACCAGCTCCACAAAAAACCTGACAAAAGCTTCTGATACCAGAGAGTTGAGTGTCACGTCTGCAGCAAGATGGGGGGAAAAAAAAGAGGAAAAAAAAATCCCCTAAATTTTGTGTATCTGGGAACACTGGCTCTGGTTATGGAAATAATCTCTAAGAAGGCATACTGAAAATAAACCTGGGCCTCCAAATTCTTTGCTTTCTCTTATTCTCTCCATAATCTGGAAAAAAACAAATGGTTTCTACCCTTGCCTTCATTTTCTTCCCACACATAATCTCATTAAATTATGCAGCCTGGCTTGCACATCTGTGATTTCACTGAAACTGTTCTTTCAAAGGCTGCCAGTGAGAACTAGCCAAATTCAATCTACTTTTCTATTTTTATTTTTTAAATTCAATTAATTGCTGAACTGGTGCCGATCACTTTCTCATTCCTCTTATCTCCCACAATTTTCTGTTCTCCTGATTTCCTGGTTTTATGACTGAGCATTTTCCTTTTTCTTCCTCTCCTGAGATGGTCTTCATAACACTTCTCTTCAACACTCCCTTCCTTAAGGAGCTAATTGGCACAGAGATAAAAGCTGGCTTTTTATGTTGATAATTCCCAACTTTAAATTTCTAGCTCCACATGTCCTCAAAATCCCTCTTCTGCATTTTCAATCATCATTTGGCTGTCCCATAAGAACCTTAAATGGCATTTGTCTACAAGTCATCTTATCAGGTCCTTTTTGGAGTTTTAGAGACTATAAATCAATTAGATAACAACACTTCTAAAACAGCATTCATTATATTTTGCCACCAAATAACAACTTTACATTTCATATAGTACCATGATTATTACTTCCAGTTTTCCTAGATTCATACTTCGTACATTCCATGTTCCGATGATTAATGGATGTCTGTGGCTGTTTCTCTTCAATTTGAGTGGTGCCA